ATCCTGTCCTGTGAATATCCAATTAATCGGCCATGACTGCAGTTTGAATAACCGTTCCTCCCGCTCTTCTGATTGTTGTCCTTGGCCTTCTTGCTTGTATGCCGTCTTCAGTTTGGTTTTTTTTACCTTACTGCGGCATTGATCCTTTATCTTCAAGAAATCAGCCTCCTCCAACATTTTTGTTTCGGTAGAGCCCTCGCCGCCCCCCCCCCAGCTTTTTCAAATTCGGCGACTCCTGCTCTCCAAACCTAAGTATCAGGAGCGTCTCGTCCGCCGACCAGGTTGCATATGCTGATTCCATCGCAAAATGAAGAGAAACCATGGAAAAAACAGTGGAAACTAACTCAAGTTGGTCAAAACAACGCGATCAAAAAAGCTTGCAGGTCGCACACGGTCAGGATGCTGACCCCGTGACCCCGGAATTATGACGCAAAAACCGGTTCAATAAACCCTTAGCGCTCAGACCAGGTTTTTCGGTGGAAAAACCCCACAAAAACCCCTCAAAAACCACCTCCCGAGATGGTTTTTCAAAATCGGATTTAAACCCCTAAAAAACCGGTTAATTTGCGTTCACACCAGGTTAAATAAAAACCGGTTTTTGAAAAACCGGTTGAAACCGCTAAATATAAGTCTGGTATGAACAGGGTCTAAGAATGCGTTGCGAAACTTGAGTGTATGTAGCGATAGTTCGTCCTTGTATTCTCATCCTCCATGACAAGCTCCTAGAAGTACACATCATCCAGAACAGAATGTTGCGCTTATTATAGCCATTTGAAACACCTGGGTCCTCCATAGATGGTCTTTACTACGGCTGTTTCTTTCCGGTATCACTAAGAAAACTGTACGTGATAGCCTAAGAAGTATGGCCGTAGTTAGGGCCTGGTGTGTAGAGGCTATGGGTTCTTCGTTCCAGGAACAGTAACACATCACATCACACATACAACTGCTAAATATCGTAGGATCACTAATTGGAACATTTTATTATATAACTTTATGTTTTATAATAAAGCATATTATTATAGTGAAATATAGTGATTAATCACAACAATATTCCTGAATACCGTAGGCCTTATAATTGAAGCAAGCAAGAAATTACATAACGATTGCTTTATACTGTAGGCTTCATAATTGAAGCAAAGGAATTACACAACGACGTTACAATCAAATACCATATGATGTATCTACCGTTTCTTGTCATCACACCATTGTTTTTATCTGAAAAGACAAATTTAAAATTCGTAGTTGTCACCAAAGAGCAGTGCATTTTGTAGAAGATTGGCGAAGAAATGAACGTTATGCTAGAGAAATTATGAGGAAAAGTGCTGTTACGTAACACCATTCCTTTTTTTTTTAAAATAAGAAGTCTACAGGTGGCTTAGGTAGGTTACATTTGGTAGTTATGCCTCCTTTTTATTCAGGAATAAAAGCGTTGTTTTTTTACCGCCCCTGGACGACAAGTGGCCGGTCCCTACATTTCGCGCGGTTCTTATGTAATACTCCGGTCTTGTAGGTTGTTCGCAGAAAGGTTTTTGTGCGGGTCAAAAGGTGGGCTGCCCCAGTTCCAGGA